GCCCACTTCAAACAGCGCCCTGTCTGTGGCTTTCTGCAGTTTATAGGAGAGCCAGGCGTTCTGTCCAGAGTCCACATCAACAGCCACCACTTTAGTCACCAGATAGCCCACATCTGCTGAACGAGGMACCATCTCAGCCACCAAGGAGCCACCAGTCTGGACCGGATACAGAACCTGAGGGGGGTTATCGTTCTGGTCCTGGACTATAATTTTTACTGTTGTCATTGAACTGAGAGGAGGGGATCCAGCATCACGAGCAGTAAGGTTAAATTCAAACCACTTCAATTGCTCATAGTCAAGAATTTTCACAGCATGGATGACACCACTTTCTGAATTCACTGACACTAAGGTGGAGACAGGTACTCCGTTAATCTCTTTTTCTTCCAGAAAGTAGGAAATTCGAGCATTTTGACCCCAGTCTGCATCTGTAGCACTGRCAGCAAAAACGGAAAATCCAGGTGAATTATTTTCTGGTATGTTCATAATGTATTCAGATTCAGCAAAATGGGGTGGATTGTCATTTACATCAGACACTTTTAAGTTCATGTTTTTCTTGCTGGACAGAGGSGGAGAGCCTTGGTCAGACACTGTTATAGTTATATTATAATCAGGAACACTCTCTCTGTCTAAAATATTATYGGTTATTATAGTGTAATATCCTGTTAATGAAGACTCAATTTTAAAAGGAATGTCTGAGTTGATGGAACACCTGATCAGACCGTTCCTCTCCGAGTCTTCATCATCCACGTTAATGACAGCTACAGTTGTACCTGGAGGGGAATCCTCTGATATAGTGTTAGAAAATGACATGAGCTGTATTGTAGGTGTGTTATCATTCTCATCKATTACTTGGATGATAACTTTACAAGTATCTGTATATCCACCATGGTCACTGGCCTGAACGTTTAACTGATAAACCTTTGATTTCTCAAAATCCAGTTTACCTGCAACTTTTATTTCGCCTGTGTTTACATWAACATCAAAGAGCTGCTTGGCCTCTTTGCCCACATGAGGTATGGAGAACGTCACCTCGCCATTAACTCCTTTGTCTGCGTCATTTGCGCTGACAGTCGTGACCACGGTTCCTTCAGGAGAGTTCTCCCTCACTTCTGCTTTATAAACCGCCTGGCTGCAAACTGGCGCATTATCATTAGCATCCAGCACTGTGACATGGATGCGCACCGTCCCTGATCTGTGTGGCTCTCCGCCGTCTGAGGCGATCAGCACCAGCGTGTGCGTCTCCTCCTTCTCTCGATCTAACGGGCTTTGTAAAACCATTTCAACAAACGTGCCTCCACCAGGCTGGTTCTGCACTTCCAGTTTAAAATGATCTAAAGGTTTCAGGATATATTTCTGGATATCATTAATGCCGACGTCGGGGTCGTCTGCGCTCATCAGAGAGAAACGAGTCCCMGCCGCAGCAGATTCGACAATTTTCAGATCGATTTTGTCTTTTGGGAAAGTCGGGCTGTTATCATTAACATCCACTACCTCCACTGTGACCCGGTAAAGCTGGATGGGATTTTCTAAAATCACCTCGAAGCTGAAGCTGCAGGGCGTCGTCTTCCCGCACAGCTCTTCTCGGTCGATCCGCTCTTTAATAACGAGCGTGCCTTTGTCTCGGTTGAAATCCACATACTGCTGGCTGCCTTTTGTAATAATGCGAGCTTTACCTGCTATTAGTCTCTGCACATCCAAGCCTAAATCCCGCGCGATGTTTCCGACAAAAGAACCCTCCGCTTGCTCCTCTGGGATGGAATATCGAGCCTGGGCAGCCACGGAGCTCAGTGTGAAAAGACAAAKAATAACCGGGGCCTGCAGCCGGACAGACGCCTTCCACAAACAAGACATCACGAATCCAAACGTGCAGAAGCAGTAATCCTTTCCAGCGAAATACAGTTGTAGGAAAATATAGGAATTAGAAAAGTAGTAGCGTTTTCTGAGAGGAATATTTACGGGATGTTCGTCAAAGAAAGCCTCAGAAGGTTCTGAATATCGTCTTTCAAAGCAGGAAAACACTGAATGGTTGGAGAGAGGTCGGCGCATCAGCTTTTTATTTAAACATATATTCAGACATGAATCAACAGCGGCCCTTAGAGCCCATTCACGGTAACATGTCGGCTGCGCAAATAGAAACCATTAGGATTGTGTTTAGAAAAAAATATATACATTTCCATAAGCATTAAAAATATATGAGGAAGTATTATGTAAATTAGAGCAACGAGGAAAATGCTTATTTAAAAACAATCACGTTGAWTCAACAAATCTAGGAAGAAGCTGACACGAATCACAATATAGTCAGTTACACTTCACAAGAAAGAAAACASCTAATGCACAGCTAAACACAGAGAAATATATGGCCAGAGGCTTAAATAAAATGGAAGACTGTGATAATTAAATAAAAAAAATAGCTGCCTAAATGTAAAAACAAATGTGACATGTTTTAAAAAGAACAATAAACTAATTTTAAATAAAGGTAGCAAAACAGAAAAAAAAAAATGTACTTACTTATCTGTTTATTTGTTGAAAAATGTTTTTGTACATATTTAAAAGACCAAAATTAGAGTCATTTTTAAACTGTGAACAAATGCATTTTTAATAAAATGTCTGACTTATGTGTTTGTTAGATAAAATGTATTGTTCAAATCAGTGCTGTTAAATTATGGTCTGTAAAACAATAAAAATACACCAACGATAAATTGATTAAACTTAAAACTCATTTGTGCACATCTTAAATGTAAAAAAAAACTTCAAACAGAAATGTTTATTTTAATATATAACACAATAGGAACCCACTAAATGCTTTGTACCATGGACAGCGACATCACAACTGTTCACGAAGACAGTCAAACGTGAGCTCAATTACTACCTAATGTGCACTTAATTCTGCTGTTTTAGGGAGGGGAAATAATAATAAAATATGCTCAAAATATATGACTCACCAACGTTGACATCTGAGATGTATATCCTGACATCTTGTCCACTTGTGGTGTATCCATCCCATCTCCTTCAACACTCACTAAACTTGGAGTCATCGGTTTCAAGTCACTCTTTCTGGAGTCAGTSGTCCTGCACACCTCGTAATTGTACACATGTTGGAGAGTCCCTGTCCCCAAAGTGTCTGAGTAACGTGGTGGATAATATGGAATGACAGGGAGGTTGGAGTGATACAGGATGCGAGACTGTCTCCATCTGTAGATTTTGACTGAGATAATAACCACTAAACAGGTGATGAAGAGGAAGGACACCACAGCCAGAGCCAACACTAAGTAAAAAGTCAGCGTGTCATTGTACTCCTTGTCGTGTGGAGAGTCAGTGAAGTCCACAAGCACTTCCGGGAAGCTGTCCGCCACCGCCACGTTAACAATGACTGTAGCTGAACGAGACGGCTGSCCGTTGTCCTCCACTATAACAGTCAGTCTTTGTTTCACAGCATCTTTATCAGTCACCTGACGGATAGTTCGGATTTCTCCATTCTGTAAGCCCACTTCAAACAGCGCCCTGTCTGTGGCTTTCTGCAGTTTATAGGAGAGCCAGGCGTTCTGTCCAGAGTCCACATCAACAGCCACCACTTTAGTCACCAGATAGCCCACATCTGCTGAACGAGGCACCATCTCAGCCACCACAGAGCCACCAGTCTGGACCGGGTACAGAACCTGAGGGGGGTTATCGTTCTGGTCCTGGATCAGGATTTTCACAGTCACGTTGCTGCTGAGTGGAGGAGAGCCTCCATCCTGAGCTTTGATCGTGAGTTTGATTTCTTTAATTTGCTCATAGTCAAAGGAACGGACTGCTTGCAGCGCACCAGTTTCAGAGTTTATGGACACATAATCAGACACTCGGTGACCATCTATTTGCGTGTCCTCTAAGAAGTATGAAATCCGTGCGTTTTGATTCCAATCAGAATCTCTGGCGCTGATAGAAGTGATCGACACCCCAGGGGTGTTATTTTCAGTTACATAAGCAGAGTAAGATTTTTTATCAAAGAGGGGGACATTATCGTTGACGTCAGAGATGCTAAGCTGCAACGTCACGGAGCTAGACAGAGGGGGAGACCCAGCATCTGCGGCTGTAATTGTGATTTTATATTCAGAAMTTGTTTCTCTATCAAAACTCTGATCTGTCACTAAATCATAGTAATTAGTCAGAGATGACTGGATTTTAAACGGAAGAGTTTTATCTGCAGCACATTTTATTTGTCCGTTTTTATCAGAATCTGCATCTTTTACGTTTATCACAGCTATTGTTGTTCCGGGAGGGGCATCTTCTGATACAATTTTTGAAAATGACATGATATTAATAACTGGAACGTTGTCATTGATGTCACTGATATCAACGATAAGTTTACTGGTACCTGTCAGACCTCCTCTGTCTCTCGCCTCCAGTCGGAGCTCATATTTAGTCTGTTTTTCATAATCTATCTGTCCAGCCACAGATATGACTCCTGTGCTCTCTTCGATGTTAAAAATATCAACTGTACTGCCTCTTATTTTTGAAAAGCTGAAAATGATCTGCGCGTTACTTCCAGTATCTGCATCAGTAGCGTTTACTCTTGTAATATACGTGCCTTTAGCTGCGTTTTCCACAACCACAGCTCTATAAACTGTCTGATTGAACACAGGGGCATTGTCATTTACGTCCAACACTGTAATATTAATATCAACTGTGCCTGATCTCTGCGGGTTTCCACCATCCGCAGCTATTACCTTTAATGTGAGGGTGGGGTTTTCCTCTCTGTCTAGTGGCTTCTGAAGAACCAGCTCTGCGTATTTGCTTCCGTCTGGATTCGTATGTTGCTTTAGAATAAAATGATTATTCGGGGACAGCATGTAATTTTGTAATCCGTTCAGTCCAACGTCAGGATCAAAAGCACTCTCGATGGGAAACTTCGATCCGATCACAGCAGATTCGCTCGTCTCAAACTGCAGGTGTTTGTTCGGAAAAAAAGGAGCGTTGTCGTTTATATCTAGAATTTCCACCGTGACGCGATGGAGCTCGAT